TATATATATATATATATATATATATATATATAAATTAGGACTATATTGTAGATACATTATTATAGTCTGTCTTTGAATTGTATATAATAGTAAAACTATTCTTGGAAGGTTCATTTGTCATTCTGTTTTGGTGAAAGGAGAGAGACGATCAAAGAGAAGACGGTGCTAGGTTGAGAAATGTCTGGTCCAATATCAACCAATAAAGTCAAATGATGGCTGTATGTGTATATGAGAGAGACACACAGTAAGGGCGATTGTGGACTTGGTGAGTTGTGTCTTGGTGACGGATACATTGGTTGTGCTATGCATGGGGGCTGAGAAGACAAGGCTGACTAAAGCTTTGCATATTTTTGACATCAGGGTGGATTTCGGACTTGTTTTCCTGGACAGCTGGAGAATTGGTGGTTTTTTCATTGCTAGATGTAGCAGAAACTGAAAGGGGAAAATATGTATAAATGCTTTGGCTGATATCTATTGATGTAAAGAGGTAATGAAATGAATTTGTGACACAAAGTAGGTTGTTTTGACTAAATTACTTGGTTTGCCTTTCCCTACAGCTTACAAAGAAAATAAATTCCATATCTCCCCTATATTTTTGAAGTTCTAGATACATATACCATCAAGATTTAACATAGGAACTTTTCCCATATATCTGTGAACATTTTGAAAGGATATTTTAGTTAATCAGTGAAGTGTTATGAGCATGATGATAGCAAAATAATTTCTCTTATTGACAAGTTTTATGGCATGGATTACCTCTAAAATAAATACTTGATGAGATTAGATTCAGAAGATATTAGTTAAGACCAGAGCCAGTGAAAATCTCTTTCAAATAAATAATGAAAACAATAGAAATAATATTCAGTTGTAAACTTCTGACAGCAGTATGTAAAATGTGTGTGTGCGTGTGTGTGTGTGTGTTTCTGTTTGTGTATTGCGAGCTCTCTTTTCATGTATGGGTTCTTGACTGGGGAGCACAATTGGCTAGAGAATGGGACTTTACAAGGTCAAGGTCACACATTCCACTGGCCACGTAGAGGCAGAAAACTATGTCACAATCATCAACTGCATCAGAAATTCTATATAGTCATTTCATGGACTGATGCTCTTGGTCACATAACTAGACAAGAGAGTTTGGCTGGTTCAATCATATTCATCAGGAAAAAGAGACACAACTTCAAGCTATATGCTTTAGGCTATAGTGTATTGTCATACACTATAGGGCAATGATTTCAACTTTGTGAATGGCAGTATATACACAGAAGCTCCCAAATGTACAAACTCAATTGCATTAGAAAAGAGAAAAGCCCTACTTAGTCTTAACTCCAATATTTAGCTGAAAACAAGCATACTATAATTGTCTTTCACTTTTTTCCTAGTTAATACTGCATCAATAGCAAAGTTTTAGAAGAATATCACATTCTTTTATGAATGTACTATTCTATGTATCTCTGTTATTCATTATAATCAAATCAATGCATCAGAACATAGGCTTTTTCAAGATCTAAAGCAGCATCTTTACATTTCGGAGTTTGTGAAGTCCATCAGGGAAATAACGCAAGAGCACTGAGAAATTCACTCACTACGTTTCTGCCACTTCACGTTGAGGGTCATATGCAATGACAAATACTGAAACTTGCACCAGAGATCAAGTTGGTGAAACATTATTTTCTGACCATTATATTTTTGCTTTATAAATCTCAACCTATGATTTCCTGACAAGTCCTTTTCTGATCGAGCTATCTATACCAGTCCTATAATAAAGTACAAAGCAGTGTAAGTTCCTCTGCAAATCCACTCGTTATCTGCTGGACTTTGGAACCCAACTGCCCTCTCATCTTTCAAGGAGAATTATGCTTTTATGCTATTCATTAAAAGAAGAAGAAGAAGAAAGGAAAAAGGTAAAACGCCAAGTCCATAACCTCTAACGAATCACTATTTCCATCTGCAGCCCGGCAGTAGTCTAAAAGCAGGAGCAGGAACAGAGAGAAAAGCCCCTTCTTTTAATCTAAAACTCTTGCTCTGCTTTAGCAAAAACCATTAACACAAACAGCGTGGATCAGCCTTTCCCTATGCAAAATGGACGAAGGTACCCAATTTTCTTTTATAATAAATCCGAAGTAGTTCTTTATCAGGGAAATCCGTTGTAATCTTTCAATTTCCCCTTTTAAAAATTAGACTCTGGCTATCAAAGCATGTTGGCCATGGGAATAAAATATTTATCTAACAGGTTTCCAGTCTTAACGACCACTTCCTATTCTTTATTTTTCTTAGACCTTTATGCCTCCCACTTACCAAAGTCTTCACTCAACCCTACCAACAGCCCAGCTGGCACCACAGATAAGAAACAAACTGTTTTTTCCGTGACCTCTAAGCATTCTACTCCAAGGGAAAAGCAACGTGGAATGCACACTCAGCAGGCTATGAGCCTGGAGCCAGTTTGTCCTCGAGGCATTTCTGCCATAAAATATAATACTATCCACTGTGTTTTGCTCTAAGCCCATCCGTTCCCCACTCCCCTCTCTCTCCTTCCTGCTCTAGCTCCGCACCTGGCTGCAATTCACGACCCGCACCGCACAATGCAAACAAAAGCCCAAAACAGCAACAGATTCCTTTGTTTTACATGCAAATCCTACCTCCGGTAGTTGTCACATCTTCCTCAAAAGCCACGCTTAATTTTTAATGACAGCGATCCAGTGCAGTCCTCCAAATAGCCACGGGTAATCATCATTGCCTCTCGTGCCTAAAGCTTTCCTGGACCATTAATGTCACAACCCTTGCTAACTCATAGCTTTAATACTCTCCGCTCAAAATGTCTGAAAGAGTTTGGGAGGACAATAGTGACAGGCACGCTAGACAGCCATGCTTGAAATTAGTTATCAGAAGCTCCGTTAAAGCTGCTTCATACTGTTTTTAAAGCGTGCAGGAGGTAGGATTTATTAGCCTATGATAGGCATGCTGTTTCTGTTTTTATTAAATACTGTAATAGGCTGTCTGTTAGCAATGCTGTGATAGGTCCAACATCACTTCCCACTGCTTTCGAATTCTCATATTAAAAAGGGAGAGAGGACTCAGACTTCCTTGGGAGACCGAGAGGGACACCACCCTGCCTACTGGATCAGATTTCCAGATCCTCTATAACCGCAGGAGGAAGAATTCCTTGTGCAAATGATATTTTTACATGGAAAGTGAAGTTGGGATAAAAACACTCTAGGATTCCCCAAACAATTCTCTCACTCCCAGCAAGGGACTCCAGCTCTTCCCAGTTACAAAAATAAATGTTCTCTGGAGTCAGATAAAAGAATCAGTCCCCATGGGAAATGCTCTCATTATTACTGAGGTAGGAGTCAGGGTATGCATATATGCAAAGTCTTAAATGATGTATCAAATGGACTGAATGGATCAATGAGCACATTCATTATTTCATGCGGATTTGCAGAGCTTTGTGTTACAGTTTGAAGCAATCACATGTGTGCACTCCTGTCAAAGTGCAAAGAAGGAAAGGTGGGGGGGAGGAGGGGATCCACATTGGGCAGTCATGATCATGGAAGATGGAAGGAGGATTTCCTACCATTGGTCAGAGATGAGGCTGGAAATGCTACTCGGAAAAGTTGCTAAGTACTTTTCCAAATAAGGAAACAGAAAAAAGTTCTTGGTAGTTCACAGTAACACAGAGAATGCATTATGCTTCAACTACCCAGATTTTGTCCTTTTTTTATAGTGTTCTTTCTCCCCTCCTGCTATCCCAGGAGCAATAGTTATGTAGTAGTTGCTATGGAAACCGAGTGGTCGCTCCAGCAGAGGGGCTGAGGAAGGGCGGCAGATGGAATACGGACTGACCTGACGGAAATGTACTATGTCGGTCTATAGAATTGAAAATAAGGAGTGATTAATGAACACACAAAACTACTACCAAACAAAATCACAAAGGGAGTGATTGTAAATCACCATTATTTAATTACTTGTCGTTCTGTTATCTGGAAATGCTATTATGATCACAGCTTCCATTATTTGATTATATGTAAGAACCGAATACCTGAATTGCTTAGATGCCTGATAAAAAAAAAAAAAAGACATTTTTTTGTTTTTTCTGCCTTTTTTTTTTTTTTTTTCAAATTCCTGGTTGTCAGTTTGAATATGCCTTGATTGTATGTGAATTTTAGTTATTACTTGACTGGTCACAATTTCTTCTCAGGAATAAAGCGTGATTTAGTGGGAAAATCTCCTTGTATCACAAACCATAGCCATGTTTCATTCTGAATGAGCATCCTTGTAGTGGTTTCTCTGAGGCAAAACCAAAATCTAAGTTGAATTTCAGTAAATAACTGTTTCCATAATGTTGGGGGGGGGGCAGAGAAGATTTTATTTTTTCATTTCCACATTTGCAGTTCTTCAAATAGAGAAAAATATATATATATATTTTGTATTCCATGTCCAACATCTTTCACCAGCCTCATGATCATACACAAGAAACTATTTCTTACCGGAGTAATTAAAATTTCACAGTTGTAAGGAGTCTGGGAATACAAAATTATCATCTAGAGTGCCTCAGCTTCATAGTTCGTAATTGGAGTAACTGACACCTTTGAAGGGAGAGCTCAAAACTTCCAAAATAAAATTGTTGGGAGGCAATTCTTCAGGATTTTATGAAAATCCCATTTTTATATAGGCAAGCATATCATCCAAAAATTTGCAATGGAAGAAGGATTATATCAGGGAGAAAGGATTTATGATATACTCTTTAAAAATGATGAGAGAGTAATATTATAAATTGAATATCCCAAATATCTTTTTCAAATGTAGGAAAGTGTTTAATGACTGTATATGACAATCTAAACACCATTAACCACACCATGTATGATTTGCAGCGGTGGGGAGAGAGTCACAAAAATCCCTCCGTTGGATATTTCCCTCCAAATCCTACGTGTGGTTAATTCAGGAAATAGCTGATACTCCTACATGAGACAAATAGACAAGATTTGGTTCCTGGGATGAAAGGAGAGGGCGGGTCTGGGACAGAGATAGTTTGTGGTGCTTTGGGGAGACTCTGTCCCTGTCAGAGCAAAGGTCACTTGATCTCTCTGACGATGAGGGGGGTTACTGAAAGGACTCCTCAGATGGGTATGGGGTGGGGTGAGGTGGAAGGCAGTTTGGTGGAGGTAATGGACGAGGAGCAGGGAATGTGGAAAGGGAGCTGAATGGAGGGAAAGAAGAGGGAGAGCGATCTATGAGGGAGGGAGGAAGGAAGGAATTTCTTGAGAGGTGGCATAGTGTCAGAAGAGGACCCAGCCTTTGAAATAAGGAGCCCTGATTTTTGACCCTCGGTTCTGTTAGCCTGGTTGGGGTCTTGTGTAAAATGGGATGCTACCATGTCTGTTGTAAGACTGAAGTGACAATGGCATGGGACATGACAAGGGAGGAGTGAAGCTCTTTGTAAACTGAATGCTAATATAAGTGCTAGTTATACATGAGCAGGAAGAAAGAAGGCAACCAGGAAGGAGGGGGTACAGTGGGACAGAAGAGGAGTAAAGGAAGGGCAGGAAGAGAAGGAGGTGGGGCTGGGGAAGACAGAGGGGTAAGTGGAAGAGACTTTCTCCTGTTGAATCATGTAAGACAGAATTTCTTTCTTGCTGCTTGTTTTCTGGATCCCACTCCAATAACTGTTGCTTTATCGTTCTCCCCCTTTAATGAAGTTTCAGATAATAAAGTGTTCGGAGCTCACACCTTTTTCAACAAGAGAAAAACTTACGCTGAATTTGTTGAAAAGCATGTACTACCATTTCAGAAACAGCTGATCTGAGGATTGAATTTAGTAATTCTTAGCATTGCTGTTTTGGATGGTTCCCTGGAGAATGAAGTTTGGGGCAGCAGAAGGCAGGAACTGAAGTGATATTTCAGAGCTATATTGCCAAACACATTCAGCAAGAGTACCTTGTGCATCTGTAACTTGATAACATTTTCAACAGCATCTGCTTTCTGAATGCACATTAAAAAAAAAAAACTTGTTCTGGAAAGAATTTGTGTATGGTAACAAATATTAGGTTGAGAACCAGAGCCTGGGTGAGAGTGATGTGATCACATATGCAGAGAATTTGCAGTTTACATGCACAGCCTGTAAGTTAAACAGTTTAATGAATGGAACGATGAATGCATAATTTCATTATGAGTCATCACTATTAAAATAAAAAAAAATTAATAGATACATAACCAGAAAGTGTAGCTATCTGTTGCAGATACAAGTGCTAATTATTTTTCAGAGTATATAATTTATGCTCTGAATAATAGAGTAACTGCTTTTCCTCTGTTGTGACTATTTTTTCTAGGAACAACAGGAAAGTTACTTTAGAAACCACTTCCTTCCTGTTATATTCCTGTGAATGCTGAAGCTGACTCACTCTGAAGTCCAAGTTTAGATCCATGCAAGAGGCATTCTCCAGTATAAATGTGAAATTTTAGCCCTAGAAAAAAATTAAAACAGTGGAAGACAATGTGACATTTAAAGCACAGTGTCTGATTTCCAGGACACAATGAGGTGCCTTTCATTGGTCTACATCACTTTTCATAAAGATTTTCCTTCCGATTAGAGGTTAAAAAAATTTAGTAGTAAAATGATAGTTTTGAAAACTTCACATTTATATATATTCCCATACATCATATTCGATCGTCAGAACAAAGTTATCGGGAGGCAGGGCCAATTTTAATAGTCCCATTTCCTTTTGGAGCGCCTGAGGGTGAGGGAGGTGAAATGTTTTTCCAAGATCGCATAACCTGTACGTATGTCTTCTCACTCATAATCCAGTGTAATTTTTACTACACGAAAATTTATACCTAGTTCCTGATATTTCTCCTAGAAATATTCAGAAATATGAGCACTAGGAGAATTTTTTTAACTATTAAAATCCTAAGAGTTTCGTGCTGTATTTTTTTTTCTTTTCATCTGGCATATGTTCATGCCTGGATTTTTGCTTTTTGTATCACAGCTCTTTCCATTTTTAAGATACAGTGGGTAAACCTTTTTAAAAGGTAAACTATAGGGGCGCCTGGGTGGCGCAGTCGGTTAAGCATCCGACTTCAGCCAGGTCACGATCTCGCGGTCCGTGAGTTCGAGCCCTGCATCAGGCTCTGGGCTGATGGCTCAGAGCCTGGAGCCTGTTTCCGATTCTGTGTCTCCCTCTCTCTCTGCCCCTCCCCCGTTCATGCTCTGTCTCTCTCTGTCCCAAAAAAATAAATAAAAAAAAGTTGAAAAAAAAATTTAGAAAAAAAAAAAGGTAAACTATAGATTGTCACAATTCTGCTAATTACAGAATTGACACTGAATATAATTTCATGTTCTTGGCAGCAGCTGAACAGGACTCTTTGATCTATGGGCCTGGAAGCACAAACCCACCTAGTAAGGCAATGAGTTGGATCATCTTCTCGGATTCTTTGATTGCGTTTCTGTCTGCTTAAACATTAGGGGAGGTCTTGCAGAAACTCCTCCCCCTTCCTGTCAGCAGTTAGAACTTTCTGCAGGCTCTAGTGAATTACCATTCTGTATGCTTACAGTTGAAACGGGAAAAGGAGGGATAATTATATAATACACACATCAATTAATTTATCTGAATTTCCAGAAGAGTAGAAAACTCCTGTCTAGCATGCCCCCTCCCACCAGCAAGCACAGATAGAGAT